GCACAATGAGCATTAGTCTTTGTTGGTTTATGTGCATCATAGCAAAATTTAGCTAAATGGCCTTTTCGGCCGCAAATAGAGCATTTGTAAACTTTGCTATACATATGTGCATAGTGAGTGCTTGGTTTTGAAGAGTTAGCACGAGACTTTGCACATAAGTCCATAAGTTTCTTGTTATTAACAATGCATGTGTTAAGAGTTGAATCTAAAGATGAAATGCGATTTTTAATATTGTTCAACTCATCATTAGGCATAGAAGCATTGTCAATAGAAGTAGAGCAAATATGATCATTTTTAAATGATGTAAATTTACTTCTAATAGTCTCTACTTCTAGCATGGCATTTTCTTTTTCATGAGTTGAAATAGCAAAGTTTGAAAGCAATGAATCATGATCCGATTTTAATTTATCATTCTTTTCTTTGAGGATCACATTCTCATTAGAAACATTATCAAACTTAGAAATCAACAACTCATGATCGGATTTCAAATCCTTATGCTTGCATTTTAAATCAATGAAATCATTTTGTAATTTCTTGTAGGCATGCAATAATCTTTTACTAGCACAAGCAAGTTCATCATTAGGTAAATTATTAATAGATTCGAACCCGCAAACCTCACTAGGGCTATCGCCTAGTGGCCGTGTGCATGTTGCTCCATATGAACTTGAAGCGGGATCCTCCAAAGCTTGTTGGATCACCTCCAAGTCCCCTTGATGTGCTTCTATGAATTTCCATAAATTGTAAGCACTATCAAAATGAACAAATTTGTTAGAAAATGATGAGTCAAATGCATTAAGCAAATATTCTAACAAAAGCTTGTTCATATTAAACATTCTTTTATCATTGTTACTCCACTTGGATTTTTCCGAAGTGGGTATAATATAAGCATCTTCAATAACTTCCCATAAATCATATTTTTAGATTGCACAAATAGTTTAAATCTAGAAGCTCATTGTGCATAGGGAAAATTAATGAATTTAGGAGCAACATTAGATTCATAGCCTAACAAAAGTGCATGCTTCATGACCATGATAACTATATAAGAGTGCAAGCAAGACAAATGCAATCAAAACAAGATTAGCACAAAAAGATAACTTGGATCTTTAACTCAAGGCGATTAGACCTTAAATCAAAGAGCACCAAGCTCTGATACCAATTGTTAGACCCTAGAGGGGGGGTGATTATGGTCTTATGCTAATCTAATCCGATTATATACCAATTAAAATTAATTAACAAGCTATCCTAGCAAGTATGAAATACAACAATATATATAAGCTAGGATAAGCAATATGAACAACAAGAAATATCCTAGCAAAGAGATATAGACAAAGTATGTGCAAGGATATATAAACTCAAGGGTAAACAATCTAAACTAGATAGTGGATGATGTAGAAAGAGCAATGCACAATGGCGATATAAGATATGAACATAAATATGAATGAACGCCAAAGCACACTCAAACAAGCAATATGATCACGGAGTTCGGACCTTCCGTCCTACGTCTCCGCTCCCCACTCCCGGGGAGAAATCCACTAACACAATCCGGTTTGGAAGCCGGAACTTCTTCTACACACTCGGTTTTCTAGCTAACCGAAAACTCTACAACTCACACTCTTGCAATCACACTCTACACCCACTAAGTGTTGGACCTAGCCGTGTCTCCCTCAAGTGCTCGGTTACAACCTCTCCCTAGGCACGTCAACCGACGCCACTCCTCTTGGGACGAGGTGTGTGTAAACAATGAGTGAAATCAAATCAAAACTAAACTCAATTAAAATCTAGCATATAGAAGTTATAAACTAAATAATAAATAGCTAGAAATGAGTTTAGAGATTCTTCTCTGAATAACAAGATGGAGAGATAGAGATTGAAACTCAAACAAGAAGATGATCTCCTCCACTTGTGAAAACTTCTTCACAAACAAAACAAACCCTTAAACACACTTTAAACCCTTGTTTAAAACTTGTTTTAAAAACTTCTTAGATTAGTTTGAGAGTTGAAGGCAATGAGGTATTTATACCCTCTCACAACTCAGCCAAAAACCCCAAGCAAAAGGACAGAAACAGCCCCAGCAACGGTAAGAAAACTAGCCGTTGGAAGCTGAAAAAGTCACTGTCGGTCGACCGGAAATTTCATCGGTCGACCGGAAAATTTCATCGGTCGACCAGACCGGTCGACCGACAGACTCTCTGTCGCCCCGTGAACACGAGAGGTTCGGTCGACCGGTTCGGTCGACCGAAAACTGACATATATAAAAACAGGTTTTTGACACATTTAAACAATTTGTAAAAATAACAAATGAAGTCCAAAAATAATGAAACTTTGGGAAATGTATATAAACATGAAAACAAACATATTACAAAAAGAATTTTTCAAATTGCATTTCCCATTTGTGAAAAATCATCATTTTGCAAAATAGTCCAAAACATGAAAATATGAGATTGAATTTTGATGTTTTGACATAAACCAACTTTTGAAACTTTGTGAAATGTTTTTATAGACTTAGTAAAACATGTATAGACTGATATTAAAGTCTACAAACTAAGAATACAATATTTTCACAAATACAATAGAAAATAAAACCTATGAGTATGTATATGAAAATATATTTGTTTCATATCTAAGTAGATAAACCAAATCACAATAATAAATATGAAACATGTAATTTCATATTTATAAACATGAAAAATAAAACTTGTGTTGTATATATATGTGACTACATATATATATATAAGGAAACCAATAAAATGTGTGTGTATAGATAATTGAGCTTAGAGTACTTAACACACATAATATAACACCTAAACTAAAGTTACCCAAGCAATGATCTTGATCTTCATTGTAGCTCAACTTGGTACACGTTGCGGATGAAGCTTGAACTTGATCTTTAACTTGAATTGTATGTTGCTTCACTCCACAATTCCGCCAACCTCCTCTTGATATGATCGTGTAGGCTTAATCCATCCAACATCCAACAACGTTGTTTGTCTACAATACATAGGAATGTACAAACACTAGACAAACAACATTAGTGGTAAATTATTTGTAAATCATCATCAAAACAAGAAGGCCAACAAAAACACTTAAATTGTTCCAACAGAACCTTAAAACCTGAAATGGCTGTGCTCACATCACACAATGTTATAAAGAGTTCATTAATTACTTACATTTCACTAATAACTCTCTGTTTTTTTTTTCAGAACTGGAACACTCTATATTAACAGCAGTATTAACAGCAACTTGCATGTGAATCTCCGTACAACCAACATTTCGATTGTACTCCAACATGTACTTCAAGTCATGTAAGGATCATGGATTTTCGATACTAGTTAAAATATTTTTTGGTATTTTAAAATATTTAATTATTATTTTTAAAAGAGTATTCATATTTTTATTGATTTTCTACAATTTTCTATGATTTAAAAGTCCAAGTTTTATATTTATTTAAATGATATTAATATTTATAAATTTATTTTGCACGGTAAAAATTTCTGGAATTAATTTGTTGTGTTATCGATACTATTACATATTATTTTAAATAATATGTTGTACTATTAATATTATTACTCATTATTTCTTATAATACGTTGTATTATAATTACATATTATTTGTACAATTTATTGTATTATTTCTACTGTTACATATTACCTGTCATATTAGCACAACTGGTACGTTCTACTGTGTATATAATTATCTCATAATTATTTAATTTTAAATATAAGTAAATATGTTTTTATTATTAATTATTCTCGTTTAATTGTACAATATGAGTATATTTTGACTATTTCGTATCAACTGTTGTAATAGTACAACATGTACGTTTTTATTTACTAGTTGGATTGCACGTGCAATGCACGTGGTAATTTTTTTTGTTGTTTGGTTTTTTTTCTGGGGAAGTTTTGATCTTATTTATAAAGTTTTTGTTGCTACCGTTTCTAATGCTTTTGCCTTCAAGTGAGTGTGAGCAGATCCACAAAAGCTTATTACGCTGCAAACAAGAAACGCCTAAAGCACTCCCATATTTAAATATTATTATTATTATTATATATTATATAATCTTAATAGTTTTGAAACAAAAAACTATTAAGGTTTTTTTTAGCCTGCACCTAGATTTTTATCCCAGCATAGAGACAAGTATGAAAATTAAAATCAGTTTTTCTTTCAAAACTATTAAGATTAAGCAGTCACTTCCTCAAATTTTCCTAAAACCAGCTTAATCGTGATTCAAGAAGTATCCACATAAAACTACGTACGTGTTTGTGTGCCGTGCGTGCATGTAAAAGAGAGAGGAAAAGGGAAGCACATTATATATGTAACTAATCCTCATTTGATAAAAATGTAGATTAATTTGAGCTTCTTTTACATTGCTTCTAATATTTGTATGATGTATAAATTGTTGCCAATAAGGGGAGTGACCTATCCACCTTGGAAAATGTGCTATGCCAAGAGAAAAACAAGGACCACAATGCATGTTTAGACAGCCTGGAACTTGATAATCCAGCCAGCCAAAATACGCCACCTCTAACAACCCTCTCAAGTTTTGCCTGAAAGCTGCTACTAATCGCAAAGATCTTTTTTCAGTGTGACTCCATCTTAGGATTTTTCTTAGAGTAGCTATTAGAAGAATCACCAGAAAGCTTTATTCAGAAGACTCACCATGTCTTTTAACATGAACACGCAAGGGGAGAAACTGAGATATTGAGCACATGCTCTTAATCTTGTAGTGATGTCTAAGTAAGTGAGCTGGAAACAAAAAAAAGCAACTGCAAGAACTTAAAGAACCAATCTCTCATATTATATGGGTATCCCATATTATTCACAACATATGCTTAAAATATAAAGTGATAAAACATGAACTGATTTAGAGACTTTTCTAACCTTATCTTTCAGCAAGAAAAACAAAAGGGAAGTTTTTTTTACCAAAAAACAGTGAGTTTATTAGGAAAAACCTCACATCTTGCCTCATCATTCTCCTCAGCTCTCCTACAATTCTATAGGCAGCTCCTTGCCCTCTTAGACCGGAGCTGGCCACAGTCAGACAATCCTGCAACAACCACTTTAATGTCATGTTTCTTATCTTCACCGTTAAACCAATCCTTTGCAATGTGAGGGCATAGCTGAATCGATGAATGCTTTAGATTGGGCACCTTTCCTCGTAGAAAAACTCCTGCCAGCAAACAAACATAAACAAAAGGAGAGGTAACAAAAAAAAACCAAATGGAGTATCTATACATATACAAATGAAGGGTTAAACTAAATTTGCACCTGTAGTGAAGAAATGGAAAAGGTATCAAGATATGCGCTGAATCGATGCAGGCTTCAGATTGGGCACCTCTCATCGTAGAAAAACCCCTGCCAACAAACAAACATCAACAATAGGAGAGGTAACAAAAAAAACCAAATGGAGTATCTATACACATATAAATGAAGGGTTAAACTAAATTTGCATTGATTCAGTGAAAGAATAAATTAAGAGAAGGCCACGGATATTGATATTTTGTGATTATAAAATATCTTGGTTGTCCAATGCTTTAGCAGCCAAGCATTCAGAGAAATAATGCAAGAAGCTAATACTTGGAACTTCATAAAGCATTAAATAATGATTCCAAATAAAGAAATATAGTGGTAATGTAAATTACTCTATCACCATGCAACCATGAGGAAATGTAGTACCTTTGTGTATAATAGTTCGTAAAGGTGCTGGTATTTTGCTTCAATTGCTGCTCTTACCTCCAAAAAAATTTCCTCGTGCTCGTCATGTTGACACTGGTTAAAAGAACAAATAAACGTCAACAACTAATAACTACCAATGAAATATAGCAAGATGCAATAAATCTCAAGTGAAGTATTAAATAAGATAGGAACCATGTAAAATTATATGGGTCACAATGGTTTTTGAGTGCATATGGGTTTGTGTTGATTAGTAGCATGATTTTGAACTTGATGAAGCCTAATAAATGTCAAAATGCAAGTTTCTCAAATTCAGAGGCAAGGAGTTTTATCACTTGGCACAGTAGTTTTCTTTCAAAACCAGAAAATAACAACGCCGATCATAAATGGTCAAGATCTATGAAGTCCTAACCTTATGCCATGGATGAGATTTAATCTTTGAATAGCTAAATCTGTGTAGTTAGTTTTCATGCATCAAATTTCCTCGCAAGTTGGAGTACCAAGAACCTACAAGAAATGACCATATTGTCAAACTTAGTTAAACGTAAAGATCCTTCAATCATAATCATGATGTTGGGACTTCAAACTGTACATTGATTATCTCAAGAAGATGATCAACAACACTTGCTCCAGGAAATAGTGGTTGAAATATAAAAGAACAGGTAAAAATCTCTGTATTTAAGTAGTTCAATTCAAATGTTATAGGCTCTTAGGTTCTTATATATAAGTATTGTACAAATGGCATTTTCAGGAACATTAGAAAGATGACAGACCTGGCCAAGGAGTAACTCCGCAAGGACACAACCTGCTGACCATATGTTAATTGAAGTACTGTATTCTGTTGCGCCAAATATGAGTTCAGTAGCACGATAATACCATGAACAAATGTAAGATATGTTTGCTTCGCCCTTAACCTGATAATATAATACAATTCTTTGAAAATGAAATTGTGACAAAAGAAATAAAGATGAATTTCCAGAAATATGCAACTCAAAACTATCAAAGAAACGATCCAATAAAAAAGAAATTAGAGAAAGATGATACCAGCAAAAATAGAAATATCTTCAAGAAATACAAAGAAACATAACAATATCTGGTGAAGCTAGCAATTGATGCCTATTCCATCAATGAAACAAACTGAAATATCTAGTTTTATGATATTTTTTACTGACCTTTTTTTCATCTGTTTCATTCTTCAAGGTTCATTCACATTAATTCACATTATATCATTTCAAAAACACATAGAATCATAGGCACTCAGACCTAGTTGACACAGATAGGAATAGGAAAATATTTCAAAGATGATTAAGCCAACACAAAGCCTAAACTATACTTAATTCACAAAACACATATCTAAAAGCCATATTGATGGTTATGACTGTGTCCTTATGCCTGCAACTCTATGTAAAATCCGAATTATCTTCTTCACTATATGCCAAGAGCAAGACAAGGCATCTGACTAAGCAATACTCAGCCAAATCCCTAAACTCCTCATTACATATTATATCAGAAATTGTAAAATCCGCCTCCACCTTTTGATAAAAGGTCAGCATCTTATTCCAGTAAGATGCCAACTTCATACTTTTTTTTTATCTGATGACTTTGAGATTGAATATTTACCTACTAATCTCAAAAACTGTTAATGACTGTAAATTGGGAATCTCTCGTCCATTTCCAATATTATCGCCAAACTATGTCCATTATCTGCCAGTCTTTCTAAGCAAACTCATGTGTGTGCCACTGTGCTCACTAAAGCCTTAATTTGATGTCTTGAAAAGCACAGCATGATGTACCCAAACATACAAGGTGATGTTGGTTCCTGCCTTCAACTCAAAAGTAGTGCTTAAAGACAGAAGACTCATTGAGCTGAATATCAAGACAATAACTTGATCCGCATCACTGATTTAGGTCAATATGCGACAGAAGACTCATTGAGCTGAATATCAAGACAATAACTTGATCCGCATCACTGATTTAGGTCAATATGCTTATTGTTCGTTCATTTCTTCACGGGAATAAGCCATTACACTGCTCAGCATATCTAATTTGTAGCTCATATAAGTTTAACTTTTTAATAATACTTAAACTATGAATATTAAATTATTAATATATGTGAAACCCATCACACCAACTAAATCCAATCCAATCATGTCAACAAGCAAAGAGTAAAATTCAGCATTAAGAAAAATGACAACCTTATAAACATCATTATTTAGCTAACGCAAGCACAAACTCTAACACGCTATACCAGGCAAAAGGTCACAATATAAATAAATTTTTTGCTAATATCCAAATAGAAGAAGTTTGTCAGCGACGTACTGTTATAATTGTTAGCTTACAACATGCCAAAATTTTATCACTCCCAAAATCGCAAATCTTCACTTGGTGAGTAAGAGGGTCGACCTACAGAATAATCAATTAACAAAAGAAGGTTACAGACAAAAGAAGAACACATTTCATAATGCAGGTTAATCAAATAAGAAGCTTCAAAAGCATACCAAAACATTTTGTGGCTTCACATCTCTATGACAAACTCCTGGAACGTTACGAATATAAGCCAACCCTCTAAGCACTTCACAACATGAAACCACAATCAACACAGCATAAGAGAAGTAAAATGTATACCTGATAAGTGTAGATCTTAACAAATATAAGTGGCATCATCTGGTTAATACTGCTATAATGCTTGAGTACCCGGTACAAGGATTCAGGCACGTACTCCATAACCAGGTTGAGGAAAAGCTCATCTATACTGGTGGTCGAGGAAAAACTGTGCTTCAAAGAAACAACATTTGGATGATCCATCGAGCGCATCAACTGAAGCTCTCTGTTCTTGTATCTCTTATCTTGTAATACCTTCTTTATAGCCAGTGAAGACAAAGAAGAAATAACTTACTGAATGACCAAAATCTAAAAACTGTGGAGATTAAAGCGAAAATTCTAAAGAAATACTCATCTTTGCAAATTTCTGTAACGCTTCGGCTTCGACGGAGAAGGGTAACCGATGAATTCTTTGGCTTCGGCGAAGAGGAAGGCGTAACTAAAGTGGGAAATTTCCGATGCTGATGACGAAATTAAATTTCTATAACGCTTATTAAAAGGAGAAATTAGGAATATTTAAAATGGTTGAAGGTTAATTTGGGAAGGGTAAAGTTTTTTAGGAATTGGCTATTTTAAAGGGTAGATAGATACAAATGGGAGATAAGGAAACAGTAGGTTTGTATAATATGCATTAAAAATACCAAACCATGAATTATATATCTAAGCAAAAGATAAATAAAATTAGCTAAATAAGAATAGTACAATATGAAATGATATTTTACATGCAATTTTATCTTTCTAAACAACAAAAAGAAAGAAAGGGAGTTTACTTACATTTGTAGGCGAAAACATAAAACCATGAGCTGGTCCTCCATGACCGCTAAGAATATCTAATAGACGGCCAGTTTTCATTGATCAAACAAAAATCTGAAACCCAAAATAACATGAAACTGTCAAGACAAGACAAAAGAAAAGCTTATGAGCATAACTAAAACACACAGATTAATATATAATATACCTTCTCTATAGAAAGCTATTGTTTTCTCTCAACAGGTTCAGGAAGCTATGCTTGGTCATCATTTTTATTGCGAACGACTCATCGACAATATTTTTTGTGCAATATAGATAAGTAAAAAATACTTGACATGCAAAAATAAATTAATAAAGTGAACTATTCTATGAATATGTATTTAGATTCACATAATAGAATGTTGAATTAAAGTAAATAACTGCAATAACAATCAAAGCATGCAATAGTTATCAAACAACTATATGAGCATATGCGTATAAATCATAAATTGGCCTAACAAATTTAATTCATCAATTAATAAACTTAAAAACTTATGAAAAGCACATGTAAAATCCTTTAACCAATTTGTAAATGTAATTAAAAGTAAAAATCATTCATGTTTAATTTTTGTGGGCCCTTGATCAATCCTTCTCCACCTTTATCTTCTTTTTTGGTAAATCGAGAAATGAATCATCATTATCAATGTTGATTGTGATGTCTTCTTGGATTTGGATTTCTTGTGCTATTATCTTTCCTTGTGCACGTTCATCCTTTGACTTCTCATCCAACTTTACAAGGAACTTCTATGTCTTTCCGATGTTGAGAAGAAACTTTTGAAACAATGAACTCTGATTTTTTCTCTGTTTTAATGAGAAAAAAATTAAGATCTTATACATGAAATATATTGTTTTATATGTGTAAAATATAATAAAGTAAGAAGTTACCTCTTTTATATCATCCATGAATTTTTGAGCATCGCATCCTATCAATGTTTGTGCTGCGTCAAAAAGTGTGACTCTTGCAGTGTCTATTTCGTCTTCCATAATGATTTTAACAACATATCTATATTTTATATTATCATTGTGTATCAGATGATATTTATATATTTAATCTTTATATTTTTCTTTCATGAGTAATTGATTTATTATCATTGTGTATCAGATGATATTTATATATTTAATCTTTATATTTTTCTTTCATGAGTAATTGATAGTACTTTACCTTGGTATACTATCTTCATATATATTTAATCTTTATATTTTTCTTTCATGAGTAATTGATAGTACTTTACCTTGGTATACTATCTTCAATGTTTTTTTGACAATTTTGACATTTGTCATAAATAGTTTTGTCTACTTTTTTATTGCAGCCTGTGCATGAGTAGTACCAAGTACTTTTTTATTGTAGCCTTTGCAAGAGTAGTACCAAGCCTCATGCCTATTTAAGATATTAGTTATTTTTTTAGTAAAGCTGTCATATTGTGCCTGTACATTTGAAAAAAATTAGTTAGTTATAATCGTAGTTTACATATATTTATTAAATAAAATTAGAAATTATTATAAATTATAAAAATTTTGGAAAAAATATAGTAAAAAATGAATTTTTTTAAAAATTAATATAAAAGTAATAATTATAAATGTATTTGAAACATCAATGAAACAATATTTATTTATATTAGGTTTTTATAAAAATGAAGCTATTGATTCATTAATATTTTATAGTAGGATTTTAATGTCATACCTTTGATGAGTCTTGTGAAGCTTGCATAATATCAACAATATTCATTTTCGTTGCATTTTTAAATAGCCTTGATGGAGCACCATTAGTCTTGATTTTGTCTTTTGAAAGAGCCCTGCATATAATTTTAAAAATATTTAAAAGTCAACTTATTAAGTTACTTTT